CTTTCAGCGTTAGTCATTGCACATGCGTCTCTTTAAAGGATAGTTCCAGGTGGATACAATAGCCTCTAATGCAAACCTGTGTAGTCGCCCTTTAAAGAACATTGAGATCATTTTTATCTCAATGCACGTTAGCTGAAGATGTTTAAATGTCTGTGATTCTTTCCACCTTCCGTTCAGAGCTCCTGCAGAAGCAGGTTGATAAAAGCAGAGAGGCGTGGGCGTGTTTTTTTTTTTTTTTGTGAGTCGGCTGCAGGCGGCGGGGAAGCATCTCCCCACGTCTGCCTTCAGCTGGCGCTCCAAACGCGACCACCCACACTCCACGCAGATGCCCCTCCCACTCAACCCTCTGACTCCTCTGTAGTTTCTTCTTCACTCACCATTTGTGAAAAATAAGTGAATTCATTGTGGACACGGCTGAAACTCTTCCTTGCTTTTCTGCGCAGGTTGAGGTGCCGAGGACTGAAGAAGTGACCCCGCCTTCTCTTCCCGACCCCGACCAACCAGTAACGTCCTCTGTGTAACCTCCCACGCACGCATACACACTTTGACGTGTACCACACTGTATTCTTTGCTCAATAAATGTGTAAAAACAACGCCACAAATCCCTTTCACTCCTCTCTTTCTTTGCGTAACCAGGGTGCAAATCGATGGACTTCCTCATGTCGTCAGAGTTCAAAGAACGATTTTCACGCTCCTGGAGGCTGGAGGGCTTCTTCGGTTAATCACTGTTCTTCTGATTGTGAATGTTTGGCAGTGTTATTGGAAACATGTAGATGTCCCAGTGTTTGTGTTTTTTGTGTGTCAGCAGTTTTTGCTCAACAACAGAAGCAGGGGGTGTGTGTGTGTGTGTGTGTGTGTGTTGCGTGTGTGTTGGCTGAAGGTCAGGCGGCGGTGCAGCTGTTGTGCCTGTCACTCGTCAAACAGGTGGCCCCCTCGATCCTCAAGAGTGTGAGAAAGTGTGAGCAGGCCGGAGGATCGAAAAAAAAAGGCCATGAGGCGGGCGGGCTTACTTTTGACTCTCTTCCCCAGGATTCCCGGCGTTTTCACACATTAGACACAAACTCCTCGTCGCCTCACGCCTGCCGCCGCCGCCGGAGAAACCTTTTCTTATCCGACAAAGCCCCCTGAAACTCCTCGTCATTAACACGTCGAGACCCTCTGACGCACCGGCTCATAGTGTCTCTCACAGTAATACATGTGCCGTTAGCTTCAAACCTCTCTGACAGCATCGTGGAGAATGAATATTCATAACGCTTTTTACAGGCGTATAAGAAGGCAGGTGACCTCATTAACTTGTGTGGTAAGAGTGTTTCTCAGCTTGTGGCTCGAGTGTTCAGCGTTTGAAGAGTGGTTTAAAAAACACTGGAATGAGATTAGGACCAGCAGAGCCTAACATGTGTGACAGTACAGTTGGCTTCAGACAGCTGATGTTGTTAATGACCTCCAATTACACAAACGTCCCTCCCCCCCTTTCTTCCTCCCCCTAATGTCCACTTCACATTACTGTTTGACAAATTCAGCATCTGACAATATTCAAGCCCTTAGAGGAGGAAGAAAGGAAGCATAAAACTGTCACTAACACCCTGATATAGATAGATTATTTCCACGTTTAAATAAACAGAAAACTTTCTTCAGGCATTCATCACAGTAGACGTCTGCAGATATCGCAAACCCTTCAGACCTGCAGCTGTTGCTCCTTCTCCGGCATCCCACTCCCACAACCCCCCCCCCCACACACACACACAAACACACACACACACACCCTGACAATGTGTGAGACACACCCAGGGGAAACATATGCCTCGGACTGAGTGCCTCGGCCGGCCAGACCCGCACCAGAGTGAGATGTCTGAGCCGGTGCCCTGAATTCTCCCGCTGCTCAAGACTTTCAGGAACGCCTGCAGCTCAAACAGAATTAAATTTAAATAGCTACTAAAACACTTTGGAATAATGCATCCCTTAAATATGAATTTGTAATGCCTTCTTGTTTTCTAACTCTCGCGTCAGGCGATCTAAATGCCGGTGTTTACACCTCCTAAGTCGATAGTAATTCACTGGGAGTAATTGATCTACTGGACTCGGGTTAATGAAGCCGTCTCTTTCTTCTAATCTCTGCACTGAGGGCAGAAGTAGTGACACCGGCATGTTTCCAATCAGTGCCAAGCTTTTGAGAGTAGTAAACAATCATCCTGCTCTTCAGCTTTCAAATTTGGTAAAAGATCTCATTTTTAAATTAGGGGGGGGGGGTCTCCTGGAACAAGAGGTGTGTATGAATGGGATTAGTCGTCATTTGTCCTTCATGTGTTGCAAAATCCAAACCCGATCACAAAGCTTACGGACAAATCAAAACTTCCAAATGCAATCCTCGCTGAAAAAAACAACAACATAGAGAAGAACAAATGCAGCGCTCGTAAATCCTTCCCATGCCAAATCCTCATTTAAAAAAAAAACTGAGAATTAAAGTGGCAGTAAAAAGCAATGACGAATAAAAGTACAAGCGACGCCCTCCTCACAGCTGGATGTGACCACACGCCATCATATCTGAACAACTGCTACGAACAGATTACAAGGGGACAAACAGGTCACAAACACAGCCATCTTTTGGCTTTCACAGACTCAACATAACGTTTATAATCTATAAAGAAATACCAAAGCGTGAATCTAGGTCGAGGTTTTTCTCCTCCAGTATGTGAATAATCCCTGTGTTTCTGGTATCTTCGAGAAGGATCAGGCCCCACAAACATTACAGAATCCTATTTTGGCCTTAAGAGAGTGTCAAACCGTCATCTCATAAGCCTTTAATTCTTTTTGGGCTGCACCTCGCTCTCATTTTCGCTTTGAGCGGTAGCATCTTGATCCAAAGGTAGAACTATTTTTGGCACCTTTTTTTTTTTTTTTCCTTCCTCTTTCATTTAAAATAGTCATAACACTTCTACCTTGAGCATCTCATGCCTGTGCCGGTCCAACACTACAACGACTCTTTACTTAAAGAACCCTTCATTTACAACAGAATGAGTTTGTTTGTCTGACACTTTCTAATCCAGCCACTTTATGAAGTCGAACCTGTTTGTTTCATGTCTTGTTTGTTGCTCACAGATTGTTGTACAGGTCCGATGTTGTGTCTGTTTGGTGCCGTCTACCGCTCTGATGTCCTTCCTCCAGAACCAAAGCCAGTACCGTGCTGTCTCTGTCTTTAAGAATAACCAACAAATGACGCGTTGCCAGGTTTTTCAAAAATGCACTTTGGCCATCTCGTTAAAAAAATGCACTTTTTAAGCTGTTTTTTTCTATTTTTTATGAATGCATTTATCCACAGATTACAGCCCGACTGATAAATCATCCAGTCGATAATATCAGTCGATATTCAGCATATCCAGTGACTATCAGTATCGGCTAATTTTATCTCCGATATGTGCCGATACTACTCGATTTATTCACCAGTCAAATAGCATTTCATTTGCGTTTCATTGTTTTTAACTAGCAGTTCCTTTCACCAGCAGAGGGCGCTATATTGATTACAGCAAGCATCATCACTCTGCAGAGTGTCAAGTGTTGATGCACATACATGATTAGTTCTTTCCGGTTGAGTGACCATCTTATCTTCATTATTTATCTTTTCCACATGTATTTGATAACTGCATTTGAGGGATCATCACAATAAATATGTAGATCTAAATCTACAGATGGAACATAGATCTAAGAAAGATATCGGCCGATATATCGGTATCAGAGTTTCTTCCTATTATCGATATCGATATCGGCACCAAAAATCTCATATCGGTCGGGCCCTACTACAGATCCTCTGCGGTGTTTCCCACAAGGTATGTGACTATGATGCATGAAAGACATGCTTGAACATTAAAATGCCTCTTTAAACTTTGAGTTTACAGTCATGCACGACGGCTAACAGGAACGTGTATCAGTCTGATAAGCTGTGCACAAGATGCATCATAACCTCCACATTGAATAATCTTCACATTTAATTGAAATAGGAAATGGCACCAGCACAGGAACACACATTGGCCGGTGGTACAAAGCTGAGGTGGTGTTGGAGCGTCTCCCAGCACAGGTGTGAATGTGTACAGCAGAGAGTGAACAAGTACTGCTGCGAGCGACGGTGTCAGCTCGGCCAAGATGTAGAAGGTAAAAATGTGAAAAACAAAATATTAGAAGACACCAGAAATATTGCAATGCAGTGGATTCAAAGTTGTGGTGATATAAACCGTGTAGGTTGGGAGTGCGTTGTAAAGATGACTGTGTTTCAAACTTGGACTAATGACAGAGAGAAGACTTATTTATATTTCTATGAAAAAAGACGTAATCAGACTGTGTGCTTGGGTGGACATTTATATGGAAGAGTAGTTGACCCTGACATAGAGGGGGGGAAAAGGGCGGGAAAAGTTTCAGGTGATGTCCAGAATTAAGTCTAAATATCGAGTTACGACGATTAGTCGATGATGAAGTCGATAAACTGTGAACCAAGAGAATTGAAATCGTTATTTGAGGAGCTTATATCGTCAATGTGTTTGAGAATAAAGGTAAAATTACAGTGCCAGGTTTACCAAAAATAACCAATTAGAGGAGGGAGATTTCAGCATGTTTCTCAAAATCTCCCCCCTCTAATTAAAACAATATTTATCCTCTGATTTTTTTTTCATTTATTATGATGAATATATCGAAAAATCAATTTTTTTCTGAATATTTCGACTTTACCAGCAACATTTGGACATCATTCTCAAAGAGTCACAAAAAAATAAATCCTCTTCTGCACTTCCAAATATCCCTAAAATCAGTCTTTGTCCGTTTTAAGAGAGAAAAACGAACTCTGAGGTCAAACAGGGTCCCTTCAGGCTGAGGTATGGGGGCCACACCTTGATGCCATACCCAGTTGCCTCCCGTTCAGTGAACAGTTGGCAGTGCAATGCGCGTCTTGGACACGGCGCTGCGCTCTCGGCGCTCCGCCGCTCTGCTCGTCACCCCGCCCTCCCTCCACCTCAATCTCCACCACAACCAGCGCCGAAACCGCACAACAGGAGGAGACAGGATGTTCAGACCGCGTCTTTCACAGTGATCCCACATACACCTCTCATCCAGGAACACCGGCGTCTCTCAGCGATCAGCCCCAGAGGCGCGTCTCGCTCTTCCGCTCGCTTTGCCAGCAGCACCCGCGCCGCGCTGTTCCGCGACGGTCCGGTCCGCTCGCTTCCTCTCTCTCCCCCCCCCCCCTCCTCACTTGGAGAACAGTTTATTCCCTGAAAGCTGGATGAATTATTGGAGAGTTGCGAACAAGTGCGAGAAGAAAGCTGAGGCTCGGGATCTGCCTCCTCGCTCCGTCCAGGGAAGAGAAGCCGGAGTTGTGGACGAACATGGAGGGGACGTCCCTGTATCTTCCTATTGTCATTTTACTGATGCAATGTAAGTGCATGCAAACTCTTCTTTCACTGCGAGCGACTGTGTTTCTCTGTTTGTGTTTCTGCACGAGATAAAGCTCTGGAAATAGTAGGTCAAGCAGCTTTAGAGTATTTTATTTGATCTTCTTACTTTTTTTTTTATTTCGATTGATTTGTTTTACGGTAGCTGTCCGTGCTTGTCCTGGGATCACTTCTGTGCACAGAAATCAAATTATTTTGAGCTCGGGACAAGTGGAGAAGCACTTTTATCTTTGTGTTAAAAAAAAAAAAAAAAAAAAAAACCGGGTTCTATCCAGTGAAGAGTTTCAATCAGTTCATTTTTATTTCGACTTTCACTCATTTTTGGAGCAATAGTCAAATACCAACATGGCTTTGCATTGACACTTCAACAGTAGAGAAATCCATATTTTTCTGTATTATTGTTGTTATTCTGCACTCCTCCGGTGTGGTTAAAGCCCCCACTGTGAGAGTGGGCAAAGGTGACGAGGCAGCCAGGCTGGGTTCCTACAAGTTGGCCCTAAAGTTGCCCTTGGCCCTTTGCCACCCGAGGGTGTGGGCGGCATGCTGGCGGGCGGGTGGGCACACATTTTGGCAGAAGAGGTGGCATTTCTGTGCATGAGATCAGAGATTGGATTATCACCAGACATTTCAAACTGTTTGTCCTAGCGATGAGGTGTTCTCCTTGCAGGGGATGTTTGGACCAGGGTTGTCACTACGCCAGATTTTATTTATTTTTATGACTTTGAAGTGATCCTAGTTAAAATCAAATGACATTGATAACGCTGTTACCGTGGCAACTGAAATAGATGTCCTAAGCATCCAATATTGGGTAATATCTTGTTTTTAACGACCAACAACTGCAGGCAAACTCCTGTAGACTCTTGGAGATGTTGCCAAAGTATTTGTGCAGTTAAGTCACTGCTTTCTGTCTTTGAGTTTAAAATGTGACTGAAGAGCTGAGTTTTTTTTTTTAAGTTACTAGTCCGTACTAAAGTATCAAAGTATTGAACATTTTGACGAGCTTATTTGGGAACAAACCTGAAAAATATGCGTGTGGAAATTTGCTTTTTTTTATTTGCTTCTTTCTTTTCCTGTTTGAAATGCAGGGAGAGAGAGAAAAAAAAGCAGTTTACACGCTCCAGGGAAAAAGTGGCAGTTTGAGATTTATGTGACGAGACAGTGAGAGTGAGTGACGCACGTTTTACTCTGTGTTGTCCACACTTTGCCACCTGTCAGCCTGACAGGTCACGAGTTCACAGAGGTGTGTGTGTGTGTGTGTGTGTCCCGTCCCGCTGTGGACAACCTGACACACGTCACTCATTTTGATGCACTGCAGATAGACGTCACCGTTTTTTTTTTTTAGCAGAGCGGGCGTCAAATCTCTGATGAGTTGTTGTTGAGTGTGTATTGTTGACGTAATCCAGGGGGAAATGTTTTGGGTGGGTCGCTGTGGCGAGAGACTCAAACATCCCCCATCTCAACCTTGCACACACTCACACTCACCCGGCCTGACTGAGACAGCTGTTGCTCACAGTCATACAGAGAGGCTTTGTTCAATAGAGAACACACACACACACACACACACACACACACACAGAGAAACCCTCCCCCTTACCCCCTCAGCCTTGAAACGTGTGCACCGTCCACATTCACCTTATCTATATCACACAGCCAGACAGGATACGTCCTATGGGTCCGTCTCCCTTCCTCCCTCATTTGTTCCCTGTTCATTTAAATAAGTGCCTTAATTATTACTGCGCCATGCTTTTGACCTCGCCACAGCCCTGGCAACACCCACCCCGGTCTCCGTAACGCTCTGTGCGGACCCTCGTAATGAGAGGAAAGCTGCGTGCCAAGGAGCGAGCGTGCCATCTTTCTATTTTTGCCCAAGCAAGAGGGTGGCTGTCCCTCAGTGAGTTTGAGCTGTCGCACTGTTTGGTTGATGTTAATACAACACACACATTATGTGTGTGTGCATGAGCTTGATTGTGTTTGACGCCTTTTGTTTGGATGTTTTTTTGCTTCCAAGCCAAAAAAAACCCCCATAGCAAAAGCGTTTTAATTACAGTGGCATTATCTGATGCCATATTGGAGGAACATCAGAGACCTGCTGCTTCAAAGCACATGAAAACTTCACTGTTGAAAAGAGTCTATAGGAGCAGCTTCCTGACGCTCATTTCAGTTTTCATTAAGGCTCGATGAAATGATCTTTTTGGAGATAAAGTTCTAATCACACTAAAGCTTGCGACCTGATTAGGCCACCGATTCTATTACCTGCTTCGGTGTCCAAAGATGCTCAACAGAAGTCTGACATACCTGTTGGCTGGCCTGGTTCCTGAGATGTCACGCAGCTAATTTGCAGTGCTGCAATTGGCCCAATCAGGTGCCACTAGCTGCAACTGATTCTCAGCCCCTAATCAATTAACTACACCAAGTTTGGCAGCAAGTCATGAACCTGATTCAACTCATGATTGGTCCTAAGTAGCAAAGAGTCAAACTGGCCAAAGTACCGAGTACCAAGTCTTTGTTTCCGACTGATGATCCCATTTCAGTTGCTATATTTGTGAACTTTCCAGCTTCACAGGTTGATGGAAATGGTCGGTTCAACAGTCGTCAAGTCGAATGAGCCAGTCCAGATGATGTTGGAAATCTGGCTCCAGTATTGCTCATTGGGGGCGCCGGTTTAGCTAATTGTTAAGTTGCCCCTTGTTCAGTTCCCACCCTTCATTCACCCCATGTTATCCCTTACTCTCTCATCCCTTTCTCTGACTCTGTCTACCACCCTGTCCTTTCAATAAAAGCCCCAAAATAATCATCCAAAAGTTTTAGCTAACTGGTCTGCACTACCAACTTTTATCCAAATCTGGTGCAAACTGCAGCAAATATAAAGCGACAGACAAAATGTTGGTGCTAGTCCGGCTCTGCGGCCGTCTGTGTTGAGGGTGAAAATTAGCTAGAATGCTTTTGTCAAACTACAATGTAGCTTTTGTTTTCCTCCCATTTTGTGTGTTCCTTGGATGGATGAGTCCAGTCCTTGAATTTAAGTCATCCTGGCTCTTACTTATGGTGCAAACCTGATCATTTTGTCAACATTTTTTCTTAATTTGGAGTCGTTGTTCTGAAATTGAGCAGAGGTTACTATTAATGATTTCCCAGTGGGGAACTCATTTTAACCATAACTCCCAACGACTCATATTTTCTAGAACAGATATCTGCATATGATGCTTCATGTTCCTAGCTGGACTTGACCAATTAAATGAACGATGAGATTTGACCTGATACCTGAAGGCCAGAAACAACACTTTGCCTCTTTGTTGTCCTGGAGGCTGAACCGTCATCAGCTAATGTTGCCACTGTATGCAGACCCTCAGTTACCATCAGCTGGGTATTGCTTGCCTTACTCTAAATAATAGGTTGAAGTAATTCTAACTCCCGGGCTAGATTATGCTGATTTATGTAAAATAAAATCTACTTTTGCAAGACTGAATTAAGGCTTGAAATCTGGGACGTTATGGCTACCATCTCTATATCTTTCTTTCCCTTTCATCTCTTTTATTTAAATACCAATGATTATTTTGTCTTGCATTACAAACCCACCTGCCAACAGTCGTTAGATCAGCCTATCAGCTTAACAGTCTGCTCCACATAATGAATTGATCAGATTTGGGAGTTGTACTGATCAGCAGGGTGGGGAGCGCAGATATTTGGAAGTAGCTCGGAGCAGAGCTGCTGCTCTTTGGCTTGGTGAAGAGGAAGTTGAGGTGGTTTGATGCCCCCATTTGGAGGTTTTCAGGTACGTTGAACTGGAAGTAAAACCCTAGGGTAGATGTAGGACTTGCTGTAGGGAATTTGCATCTGGCCTGGGGACTCTCATGGGAGGAGATGGAAAACATTGCCGGATTACGTTGCTTAGCATGCTGTGACTAAAACCCAACCTGGATAAACCGAAGACAATGGATGGACCCAATACACCCCTTTTCTTGACCTCTTTCGTTAGAACCATTATTCCAGCCTTTCGCGCGTCATCTTGTTGGAATACATTTGAATTCTCGGCGTTGTGCATATTTCATTTGGTGCTAAAAGCTGTTTTAAATCTGTGTAATTACTGGGCAATACAGCCAAAAAAAACCCTCCTGTGCTCCGTGTGAAGAAAATCCAAAGTGACATCGAGAGCAAAGTGGGTAAATTCCTGCATGCTTGCAGAGATTTATCTGTAAACATGTCTCAACATTTCTCAAAGACTTCTTGGACAACATGGCTTTTTATTCAGAGTCCTACACCGTGTTAACACTACCCACCATGCAGTTGTGAAACGATCTGAACAAGCCATGTGTTCATTGTCTGCCTGAACGCCTTTGTGGTTAATTGAGGCCATTGAAGATGACAGTCCTGTAGTAGCAGAGCTCGCGCTGAAGCACGACACTCGGGCAGCGGGAGCTCACATCGCTAAAGCCTCTTTGCTCTTTTTTGGCCGTGTGTGCGTGTAAGTGTGTCAGTCAAGGCAGCGATGAAGTGCGGGCATGTTGTCAACCCTCCTACATCTCTCTTTCCTCAAAGAGACACCCTTCAAGGTGGCGGCAGGCCTGGTCTCACACTATGTGACAAGAGCTTCTCCCATTCACAGTCCCCACTGTCTGAGAGTATCTCCCTCGCCTTCAATCCCGCTCTCTCTTTTATTCATGCTTCTGCGAGTCTCTGGTTCCCTCCACCACACCACCAACTAACCTCCACCCGCTCCCATACTCCTCCTCCTCGTCTTCGTCTCCACTTCATTTGTATTCTATTCTTAGAGCTGCTCATCTCTCCTTTGTCGCTCCTCGCCGTCCTTTTTTTTAATCTCATTGTATCTCCCTCCCTGCACTTGTTCCTCCTTCAGTGACACAATGCTCCACAGCTGGTGTCAAGGTGCACGAGCCAAGGCTACAATGATAATCTTGTTTCACTGCCGCAAGTCAACACATGGCGAGGCGAATCCTCGAAGCAGCGTCTGCAGGGAGAGTGTGCAGTTTTAATTCGCTTAGCTCAAAGTTTGAGCTCAAGGCTGGTGTGAGTTGAGCCAACTTCAGGAGAGGCTTTTAAAAACTTGAGTGTTTCCGTTGTGCTGCATTTTGCAGACGACATTATTTTTGTATAGGCTGTTGTTTATTTAAGAAGCTTGTTTAAAAATAGCTGTTGTTGTGGAAATCTGATAGAGGGAAACCTTTGCCTCTGCGTTGAAATGCTTTTCTCGTTTTTCATATCCAGCTAAAATGGCCAACTTCCTGGGTTTTATTCACACTTCCTGTTTTTTGTCTCAAATCGCCCTCCATTCTTTACTCGTCACCCCTCCCTTTGCACGGGAAACGACCGATAGTAATCCAGCAACAATGAGCTCACAAGGAACTGACTGACAAACAGGAAGCTGGACAGCTGTCTAATTTCAGTTTTTTAAGTTACATATTGCAGAAACAATGACAGGAAAAGTAAACGTGTGTTGGAGGGGGCGAGTTGTGCGTTTGGTTTCAAGGATAAATGGAGGTGAAATCTAACTGACGCTTAAGAAAAATTGAAGTTTGTTAGAAGTTTTTCATAGCCCTTAATGTTCAGAGGAAAGAACCCCTGAGGCCCGTTCTATATTTATTATGTAATTTGCAAAAAAAAAAAGCAAAGCCTTCAGTCTTAAATCCTTTCTCCCGTCTTGCAGACTTCTGGGAGATGTTTTTTTTTTTTCCCCCGGCTTTCATGCAAGGAGCAAAGACTGTTAGCTGTTCTTACCGTGGGCATGTTTCTATCAAGGTTCACATGCAGGATGGAAGAGAACGAAATATGCTTCCAGTCGGAAATATGTGAACAAAGGAAAGAAGTATGGGGAATTGTTTGCTGGGTTTTCCAGACTCTTTTTCTCTAATGAAGAAAAATGTGTGTTTCTACGGATTCTTTGATCATACAGGCGAAGTGTTTGTCCTTCACTTGTGTGTGAGAGGGCATGGGACAGAGCCCGCTTGATAACATCCAATCCAAAGCAAAAAGCATGGCGTGATTTCTTTCCCGGAGCAGCCTCTTCAAACTGTACTTAAGCAGCCTGCAACAGAGCTTTGAAACGAGCACAATACAAGCAACAAAATCCAAGATGGCTTTTCCGTGCAGTGCCGTGCTTCTCCTTCAGATAACACCCCCCCCCCGTCACATTCAACCTGTACTTAACAACAGGATGACCTGACAGTAATCATCCACCGCTAACCAATCAGTGCACAGGAAAGGCAGCTCCTGCTTCCTCTTCCTGTTTGGTTGAAGGGTATCAGTGACACACAAACAAAGAGAAGCACCATCTCCCTCTTTCTAATGCCTGGGGTTAATCTGGACCAAACACCAGTGAGATGCCTGCTGACCTTGTTGTAACCTGCGCTTAAATAAACATACGGCGGGCTGCTTCTTAACCTGGCAGGATTAGTGTGGAGGAGTAATCCTTCTCTTACCTCAAATGTCCTGTGAAAAGACTCCCGGCTGCTGTGTTTGCCTCAGACAGTAGAGCAAGAGGGACCAAAGGCAGCCATTAAATATTCTCCTCTTGTAGTTGGCGGGCAATGTGGAGCACTTTACCCAATTCACCTTGCCCCCTAATGGATGACAAGCGATATTGCTTCCTGAACTGCTCTCACCCCTCTCTTTTTTTTTTCTTTCCCTTATCTCCCCGTCTCTTTCTCCTCCCCCCACCTCCCTCCACCAGGTTCCCCCTCTTCTCCCGTCACAGTGTCGTCCAACAAACACAAGGTGGAGGTCCGAGAGTTCTCAGGTGAGCCAGGACAAAAAAAGACAGCTCAACATCTCGGCTGCTTCCAGTCGCAGTCGAGTAACTGATTCATCACGTTTTCTCAGAATAAACCATAAAGCTATAAATAGACCCCAGCAGTTAAAAATGCTGCTGATTGAAAGCTCCGGCCATAAATATCTCACTGGTTGTGTTTCTCTCTCTCTCTCTCTCTCTCTCTCTCTCTCTCTCTCAGATGCGGTGCTCTCCTGCATGTTCCGCACAGAGCGAGACCAGAACCCGCGCATCGAGTGGAAGAAGAAGGGGAAAGATGTTTCTTTTGTCTACTTTGAGGGACAATTTAAAGGTGAGACAGCGGCCTGTTGCTGTTTCTCCCCCGGGTGTCAAACAGGGCGTTTGATGTACTCAGCTTGCAGAGAGTTTGCAGATATTATAAGATGTGTGTATCCTGAGACAGGATTGATTGATGTTCTGTGAGAGATATTCCAGCCCAGTCAACACGTGGAATAAATAATAATTCTTCTTGTCAGGGAGTTAGCTCCATACTCTTTTTCACACACGTCACGGCTTTGAAACGTCTGACTCCGCCCCCCCCCCTCCTCATCATGTGGCTAATGCTGAATGTTTAAAAGGTTGCAGGGGGACTTCTTAGAAAAGAGACTCCAGAAAAAAGTACAAGTAAGTTCATGAAGGGAAAACCAGCTTACTTGCTGAATAATCGCTGTGGGGCATCTGAGGAAACCGATCTGCTGTAGCAGCGTGCTCCAAAGCTCGTTGTAACCTACTGCTAACCTCCAGTTTCATTTTGGATGCTGCCATCTTGTTTGTTGTTGGAGTAAGACCAAGTTTGGACAACAGGGTGAAGCTGGGGTGTTGTAGCTGGTTGTCAGGAGGCTGTAGGCCTGCCCGAGCTCCAGCTCTTCGCCTGTTCCTACACTGACTCAGAGGTAGTTCGAGGGAGTGTTTCCAATATGTGGAATGCCCTCCAATCACATTTGGAGCCAGCCTCTAGAGGCCATTTAAGATATTGCAGTATTTTGGAGCTCCATTCTGCACCTTGATGCAAACTGCGATACAAGAAGCCGTCTTCTATGCTGAAAACAAAGCCTTAGAGAGCAGTGAGGTGAAATCAAAGTAATGAGGTTACTGGCCAGACTGCTTAACAACTTTCTTTAGTGCTCTGTAAAGCCAAGAGAAGCTGCAAAGTCACGCAAAAATGTAATTCCCTTTGAGCAAATACTTTCACATTGCCATTTCATCCAAATTTAGAAATAACAGTGATGGCTGCTTTCTTTATTGTCATACAATCTCAAATGTACTTTCTTATTTTGAGTTGTCAAGTCATGGAAATGATGGATTTAAACATGCAGTCCAAGACATTTCATCTCCATTGTCTTCTGTCTGTTCTGTTAGGTCCCTTTGAGGGCCGGGCCTCCATCGACGGGGCCACGGTGACGCTACAAAGGGTGACCCAGGACGACGCTGGGGAGTACCGTTGTGAGATCAGTGCGTCTCTGGACTCAGTCAAACTGGGCGAGACCAACGTCACACTCAAAGTCCTGGGTAAGACTCAAAGAGAATGGATGATGTCGGCTTGTATTTTTTCTTTTTTTTTTACTAAATTCTTGCCACACCTTGTCCTCCAGTTCCTCCACACACGCCGTCCTGTGAAATCCCAAGCGGGGCGGTGACGGGCTCAGTGGTGCAGCTGCGTTGTAGGGACCAACAGAGCATTCCACCTGCCACATACTCCTGGTACAAGGACGGCGAGCAAATCAACCCGCCACGACACACCAACGCCACGTATCTAATCAATGCACGCATAGGAATACTGGTGAGTGTGTGCAGAGAAGGATAACAGGAAGTGTGTACACTGTCTCCTCCTTTCAAGCTCGACTTCTTACATCAGCCAACATCATAAGAGACGCTCCTCTCTGTCTGTCCTGCAGGAGTTTAAATCTGTAGCCAAAGAGGACACCGGTCGATACAGCTGCCTCGCTTCCAACGGAGTGGGACCGCCAAAGATGTGCGAGGGGAAGCGCATGACCATAGGTGTGTACGTGTGTGTGTATGTGTGCTTGTACACTTCTTCCTGCCTCTTCGCCCACACCTTTCAGTACGGGAGAAAATCAGGAGTGCAGTGAAGAGGAAGAGCCCACTAAACTTGTTTCACCCTGCTTCTGAAATCTTACACACCTGATGTCGCATTTCAGGATCTTCTGTTTCCATTTTAGGGGGAAAAAAAATGACATGGACTAAAATACAGTTGTGCCGTTTTTTTTTAAACGTCTTCGGTATATTAATGAATTATTGAACCTACTCTAGTTAATTGGGGAATTCTGGTATTTTTAAACCTTTGATAATATGGCTTTCTAAATGACTCATCGGTTTGGAGCGGCTCCAGGAAATCACTTCAGCCGTGAGATTGGCTGAAATGTAACCCTTGGCGTCAGACGCACCAATCAGAACACATCCACTAAAAGTCTCTCGTTGTTTTGAGAACTGTGTGACAACGTTATGGAACAAAATAAAAACCTGTCTTATCTTAGACCGCTTTGTTGTGACAAGCTGTAACCTTGCTCTCCCCAACGGCACCAGACTCCTCTGAAAAAAATCAGAACGTGGCAGTGTCTTATTTACCGACGCCTCGTCAATAACTCTGGGGTCTCCAATGTGTTTTAATATTCTACATGCTATTCATGAAACACATTATATCATTTGAAAACAAGACAATTTAGGGCGGTGTCGACCAGCAACTCCTATGATCATATGCCGTGTCAAAATGCTTTCGATTCTGAGACCTTCAAAAAGGAAGTAAATAAAAAAAGCAGTAATTTGACGCTGCACAACACATGAGCTTCTTATCCACTGTTGCCATGGCAATTTGTCTGTATCACAGCATGAAATTAGTTTGGATACAAAGTAATATTTTGTAATACTTTCTGACAAGACAATTGAAGTGATTGAAGCGGAGGTCGATAAGCATCTCCTACTGTCTGATCTGTCGATGAAGTCTGGTGATGTCACAGCCGTTCAAAAAAGCATCGGACTCATTGGCCAAAAAGGTCTTCATCCCAAAATACAGACAACAAAAAGAAGTAGAGCAGAGGTCTAAAAATGTGGGATTCCCCCTTCATGGCTATCAGATGTTTTTAAGCACTTAATAAACGATATTCTAAGAGCGAGGGAGAAGCAACAGATGGAGCCGCATTGAAACGTGGTCTAGTCTATGTTTGTATTTGGAGACTCAGTGGTTACCGCTGTTTGGAGGTCGTACATTTCCTCATGTAAGCAAACTAACTTCTGAATCATCTCGTCCCTCGGTTCTCCAGAGGATGTCAACGTCTCCGCCGTGGTGGCTGCAGTAGTGGTGGTCTGCCTCGTCATCCTGATCTGCGGCTGCGGCGGGTACCTCTTACACCGCAACGGATTCTTCAGCCGTGAGTTCTTCCTCCTAACTTCGCTCGTTCGCTGACTCGTATCCACAAAGTTGAATGATGCGCCTCTGTCTGCGCGCATGAACAGTGCATCAATTAGCTTTTTGATTCTGTCCAAAAGAGTTGACATTGACTCTGTTTTCTCTTCCACGCTCGTCCCCCGTCTCATCCATCAGCAGGACACAGAGGAAGGTAAGAGCTCTGTGATTGCATTAACATTGATGTGAACAAACAAGCTAATAACTAAAGGATTGTGGGAGGGGGAGGGGGAGGAGGTTGTTATTGCACTTAGGCTGTGTGTCTGTATGCTGAGTCAGGACTGTACAGAGTGACAGCTGTGGCTGTGTGTGTCTATATGTGTGTGTGTGTGTGTTTTTTTTGGAGCTACAGCAGCGCCTGTGTTTCTACTCATTGGGTGATTGGCGCCAACAGATGCACAATCCCACAGGGGAATGGGTTGTTGTTTTTTTTTTTCTGAAATCGATGGCCACTTCCAGGCAGACGTACATCTGTTGGAGTTTTGTCAAAATGTGGACAGAGAGGTCTAAAAATACATCAGGGGGAATAATCGGTGCAACGAGGAGGAAGAATGAACTGTTAGCATTTTATTTGGAGTAATTGAGCTGGATTTGTTAGATGTTGCTGCGAGTGCCGCGTCTTCACACACAATTTTCCCTCTCCTGCGATCACACCAGAGAGGCCGTTTTGACGCTTGACTTGGCGGTCGAGGCAGGAATGCATGACCTGGCGTGACTGGCCTTACTCGCTCGACTCTATGTTATTTGATTACTGGCCTGTTACCACGCAGACTTTGATGGAGAGTCACCGCCGAGCTCTCCTTGAAGCTGATGCGAAAAGCTCTTTGTCTAGGTTAAAGTCTGATGCTTATCCCACTGAGCTAACTGGAGCTGTCAGTGTCAACTCCCTATTTATAGAGCAGGCTTCTTCACAAAGACTCAAAGACAATGTGACATGATATCTGATGCACAACTTACCAGTGGTAGAGATGCAGATTTCAGATGAGGCTCTCTGCCCTTTGGAGAGAAAAATGTCCACGCAGACGAGCTCAGATGGACGACGTATCGAGCTAAACCAGTCCAGATTTCTTACTCTTAATGTTAGTGGTGAAAAAGTAGGATGACTTTGACCTTTTTGAAGTGTAGATTTAAGATTTTACAAACTAAAACAGGGCCTCTCTTTAGGCAAAGTGTCCTCCAGCAGTAGACCGACTCGTCTTGTTACATGTTTCGCTCGTTGAATTTTTCATCCATGATTTTTATTTCAACCCTGATTACGAACGGAATCTGTCGTCATTTCTATCTCCACAGCAGAAGTGAAAGCATCAGAAAATTGTTGCGAAAGTGTTTATTTCAAACATGCATATGGAAAAACCCAGAGTGTTTTTATGAAGCTTTATTTAGACGGCGCCTCTCGTACAGAATGAAGCGCCGACAACAAAGTGAAACCACAGGAGAATAAATCAGAACAGGCAGATAAATACTCGGCATGATAATACTTCCTCAGCTGTGATACATCCTGAAAGAGAGGCAGTTAGAGAAGAGTCACATAAGCATTTAGATGTTGGTCATCGGGGGAGGCGGGGGGGGGGGTTTGACTGCTGCATGTGATTGGCTCACCACTCTGACCTGCTTAGCCCAACGTTTCATTCAGCTCTGCTCCATCCCCGATTGGCTGCATGTCTGCTCTGTACATCGTTTGATGCTAATATAGGAAATGTTGAATTCTTTATGAAGGTGTGCTTGAACATTGTTTCTAACGTTTCCATCAGGTCCATGCTCGTCTTTGAATACAGACGACATTGTGTATACTGTGCTTTGCAGCGTCTGATCCACGCCTCTTAGTTTAATTTCAACACCTGCAATGACATCAAACTGTCCTAGGTGTCCGGCTGTGTGTACTCAGACACTTTGTTTGCCACTTGTTCATGGTAATACAAGTAACACAGTCTGTTAAAAAGGAGACAGCTAGCAGAAAGAGAGAGAGAGGGAGGCGGGGCTCTACAGGGTTTAAAGGTGCACTATGGAGAAATGTACAGATTCTGTAGTGTATGTCCAGAACTCTATACACAAACTGTCCTCAGAGGAACATGTCTCCAACTATCAAATTTCACTACATAGTGCACCTTTAACCGATTAGCACAGCAAACATTTTACCTCTTTTTTTTTTTTTATTCAGGATGTTTCCTTGCTCACCCTGCATTCAGTCGGTTTTACGTCCTTGATAAATTCAAACACATAAGAGAAAATGTCTGTTCAAGCAGGGACAGTTTGAGTGCAGGCAGAGGGTATTTGAAAATGAAATCATTAAATGTAAAAGTCATACTCTCAAACTGTATGCCTTGAATAAGATAATACACAGACTTTGAAATAGCAGAAACTTGTTTTCAAGCACACCTTTGTTGATGATTTAACGTCCCACACTCCGTCCAGACAAGCATGGTGTGCAGTGCCAAGCACGACATGACCCCCACTTCCTGTTGACCCTTTTTTAAAGCCGACACACTGACCCCTGCAGGTCATTTTGGATCTCCCAGTGTCACGGTGCGTCTCACATCAGCAGCCAAACCCTGCACAGAACGGAGGACACGTGAGTGTGACTGATAGGCAGACAGACATGGAAAAACAATGACTGTTAAAACACCATTGTGAAGTTGATGTCATGCTGAGCTTAAAGTAATGGTTTGATAAGTTGGTCCTGGTTGAGCTGACAGCAAATTTTTACATTGATAATACAAAGTGTGACGTGAGCTCAGTAGGTGTTGGTATTAGCCCGACCGATAATATAGGTCGACATATTAGCGTATCATCGTTATCGGCTAATTTTATCACAGATATGTGCCGATACTACTAGATTTATTCACCAGTCAAATAGCATTTTATTTTGAGCTTTACCGTATTACACTAGCAGTTCTCTTTCACCAGCAGAGGGCGCTATATGGATTAAAACAAGTAGTATCACTCTTCAAAGTGTCAGGCAGTGTACATAAAGTTACCTTCCAGTTGATCTTGTCTTCATTTTAAATCTTTTCCACAAGTGTTCCGATAACTGCATTTGAGGGATAAGCACAATAAATGTGTATAAGTATATCAATCTATCCCTCAAGATTTATCATAGATCTAAGAAAGATATCAGCCAATTTATCGGTGTCTGATGTTTTGTTTTCAATATCGGTATCTGCCTCATCTCGGTCGGGCCCTAGACGGTAGTGTTTAAAAAAATAAATAAATCTGGACGTCTGGAAGTTAGCAGTTTCCCCCATTTAAAGTCTTTAAGCTACGCTAAACGTCTGCTAGTTTAAGTTTAATATTGAAGAGATGTTTTTTTTTATAGATTTATTGAATTGAATTGAATTGAAAAACATATTTGAAGTATGCCTGTTTGCTTTCATGCACTCAGTTAGTTAAAAAACGATGGCTACATCTTGTATCGTTCCTTTAAATATGAAGCTCGGGGTTAGTAGAAGACTTAGAGGAGATGATTAGCTTAAAGCAGAAGGACTTTCAATGGAGAGGAAATGGGCTCGAAGAAGTTTATGAAATCTTTATTTCCTGTCAGGCTGCAGGGACTTTTTGGTTCATGGTCAAGTGTGTTTATCAAAATATGAAATTATGAGATTATGGTTAAACTTCGAGACATGCTAGCTCAGGACTAGCAGCGAGTGTGGGTACAGAGTCGACTTTACTTTGTGTACATTCAGTGTCCAGTTTATCTGATAATCCTGACGCTGTTTCATGCATCATTCCTGCAGCTTGTGTTCAATTGCAACTTTAGCTTGATGGGCATTTTGCAGGCTTTAGTTTATGATGCTCCTGGAGTTGGGTTGCATATGTAAAGGCAGGCTGTCTGTACAATGCTTAACAGCTCAACAGCGCCACAAACTACGTCCTCAAAAATGACCGTCGACCTTTCGACGGTTCGAAGTAGTATCATCAAAATCTGGACAAAAAAACCTTCATGAAAGTCAGATTTCTTTAAATTAGCTTTTAGCTTAGCTGAAGCAATAACCTGCTGACTGAGCAGCCAGAATAGGACTGTTACGTTCAACTGCTCTTACACAGTCCCTCACTCAGTCACTGCCAGGTCACAGTCAGACTTTCTTTAGCCAATGGGATGTTTGCCTTGTATGATGTGTATTATTTATGCGGGGCAAGTAATGAGTCAGGATACAGCTGTCCGCCCCGAGTGTCTTCCTCCTGTGACTATGTCAAACTGTCCGATGCGCTTACCATGTCTTTGTCTTTCAGGTCCAATGTCAACTACATCCCTCCGCCTCAAGAAGTAAGTGACTTTTTAAATTCTCTTCATCCTCCCTGGATCTCCCCTCCGTCCCTCACATGTTGGACTCTGACTGGAAACATAAGCAAAGTGCTGACTTAAAGGGGATTTCCAGTATTTCCTTTTCCCTTATCACTACTCTTTTGGATGCCTAGATGTCTAGTAGGTGCAGAAAGGTTTGGAATTGCTCCAATGTGTGCCCAAGTGAAGTGCTTGTTTTTGTCACTGACGGGCTCAGATTGGTATTAAGACTTTGGGACAACAATACAGAGAGGATTGACACAGAAGTAGAGCTTTTTGAACGGGTTACAACCCCTTTTTTTTTCAAAAGAGAAACAGCTTTTGTTATTGCTCTCTTCAAAGCCACCAGACTTCATTTTCAAAATGAGTCATTTTACCTTGCATAACAAGGGATCTGCTGGAGTACAGCTGCCTTAATCTGTGAGTTTGTGTGTTTGTGTGACTTTAAAGGGTAAGGTCTGATCTGACACGAAAAGTAGTGCCACAATAAGTCAGCTATAGACCAGCATCTCAACTGATGTAGAACTGTTTTTGTAGAGCGATGCCTCGTCTGTTTCTGGTTAGAAAAAGAAGCACTCCACCTCAACGACAAGGTCTATCTTGTAGGGATCCTTCCTGTAATCTCGTCCAACAGTTTTAATATCAATCTGAGCCTATCAGTGGCAGAAAGAAAGCACTTTAGGTGGGCGTACTTTGATAGGGCACATTTGTCAACAGGGATTATGTTGCAGCCAGTCTTGCAGCTGCCAGCAGCAGCGACCCTACTGGACCAAATTCAAAAATCTTCAGTACCTATTAGACCCCAAAAGATGTTAAATCTGGTCCACGTTTGAAGTTTCAACTCCAGATCCTTTAAAAATGTTGGTGATAGAAAAGTTCAGTATAACATCATTAAAAGGTTTTTTTTTCCTCCTTGTCCCACAGTCTACGGATTTCAAACACACGCAGTCATTCATGCTCTGAGAAGCCGGCCTTCCTGTGAGATCACATCCCCCTCATGAAAGGTGCCAACACTGGATACTCTGATGTCTTTTTTTGTTCTTCCTGCTCTTGGACTTCCAATATTTGCTCTTTTCAATCTTCCTATTTTGGGATCTGTTTTGACAAGCTAATTTGCAAGGCTTCTTTTTTTTACTCTCTTGCTGTGCCGTGTGGGTCGCCTTTAGTCATTTTCTGCTGTCATGGGATTTAAATACACTCTGATGGCCCTCTACTTCCCCCTGGTGGTCAGATGCGGAAATTCCAAGTGATCATCTGAGGGAGCAGTGGAGCTTTTTACAGACTCTGTTGTCCCCTCTGCAGGCCAATCTTTGTACTACCTTTGTGTTCTTTGTATCTTTATTTTCTTTTCTTTTTTTTTACCAAAGACTGATTCATGTAATGGAATTTATTTGCTTTGAAATCATCACAAGAAAGCCATGTTTTCAATCTCAAACATAAATGCAGTTTACCTCAGCTTCTGCCACATGCCAATGTTTCGTCTTATGTAACACCGAGGCCCGAGCTTTCCGCAGTGCCACACAGGATCCACCACGATCTTAGTAATAATCTGGAACAGACCAAGACAACAGGAAGCCAATTCTACTGAGACCAATCCCCCTCCATCCTAATGTGCCTGCATGGTCTTTTTATATTATACAATATCAGTATATACCTTGTGCCTTTTTAAGTTGTCTGTCATATTTATCTATGGATCACAGTTTTTGTAAAGAACTTGCCTTACTTTTTTCTGTCTTTATATTTTTGTGCCACTGTTTGTCATTGTACTGTTTTTTGATTTTTTCAAAATGGAGTGTCTGCTTTCAAACTGTGTGTGAATGGATTGTTCAGAGTTTTATTTGAATGGCGTATCATTAATAAAATGTTTTTATAGTCAAATAACTGCTGTTATTATTGTGGCTTGAAATAAGAACTAGAGCACAATGTGCGTAAATACGTATCTCTTTAAGGCTCTCATCGTTTCTGAGGTTTTGAGAATCAGCGGAAATCCGCAGTTAATATTTTCATACGATCTCCATTTTTTTATACAATGGAGAGAGAGAAGGCTTATTTTCAATAGTCTTGCTTTGTTTATGAGTTTGTAGTTTTATTATAGGTGCACGTTCCGTTTGACTCTGGAGGACTGCAGCGAGGTATACAGGTGGGAAGGAAAGATGAAGTCTAGATACTCAGTGTAAAGAAAGGTTCAAATCTGAGGTGCCATCACCATGGGGCATCGAGTCAGGATGCAGGAATCCAACAAGACTTGATTTTTATGTAACAGGTTTATTTCTTTCCAAGTTATGGGAATCATAAGGTTAACATAAGACACATGGGATTGAAACATTCACGCTTAAAGACAAAATAAAATACTATTAGTCCAATAAACAAGTCAAATTAGATTACTTTCTGAAAGGAATTAAAGATAAATAAAGTGCTTAGGACAAATTAAAATGGACTAACTGGTAACTAAAATAGGAGTGAAAACCACCTTACCATTGCTGAACTGCCACCTCGTGAGGATGAAAACATGAGTTTAAGGGAGTGCAGTCTTAAATAAGAAATAGACAGGTGAATTCAATCTAATAAAACAAAACTTTTATTAGAAAAGTTAAACTAATATTAGTTTGAAGAGTTGAAATAAAACAATAACCTAAATTTAAGTTTATTGACTAATATGTAAATTAGTTAATCCGAGGTAAAATGATTTTCTAAACATTACTGTTCACAGAGCTCAGAGATTAAATGTTCGTCTTGTTAAAGCAACATGACTAGACTTCTTTAATTAATTTAAAAAGTAAAAGCTCTTCATCCAGCCTTCTGTGTTTGATTTACTCAAAGAAACAGCAGTCTGATTAATTTATTATTTAAGTGCAGTAACCAACAACTAACCACCAGAGGGCGCCCTCTCTATATAAAGTGATTTATAAACGATATAATGCATTTATTTTAAACCTTTAACTTTAATTAAGAGTTTTTGTTCTTGTGCCAGATAATGTATGGTAAAAATGTTTCTTAAGACCTTATACTTTTTTTTTTTTTATTTAAACTTTGAATTTAAGTTTGCTTCGGTCTCATCCAAAAGCCCTAAAGTGAAGTTAAACACAGATAATTTACAGTGAATGATGAAACTCAGGTTTATTCCAATCATCACAATGTTGTATAATCAAACATTTTCAGAGTTTTATTAACTTGATGAACTAAAATGTGTTTTTCTTCTCCAACAGGAACTCTGTCGACGTCTTCCTGCTCAGGTAGGAGACTCAAAGCTTTCTTAATGTTGTTTTATTGTGTTCCAGGTTTTAGGTCTTATAGATGTTTAGACTCAGTTATTTTAATCGTTTGACTTCATCCTTTTAGGAGTGGAGGATCATCAGGTGTTTAATGAAATACTACATTTTTATAATCCTTATTTCATTAAACATTAAGGAAAACAATGGGCTATATTATCGCCATTTGACCATCTTGTACTTAAGGCTATAATTAGTCCTCATCCTATTTCAAGCCCACAATAATAAGACACCCAGTAAATGCTTTCACATGGATGCAAACTGTTGACTTTCTTTTTTTTTTAAATCCAAAATAGGGCATCCAAAATCAATTATTATTTTTGAGGGATGTGTGTCAATTTATAACCCTGTGTTAACATGATTTCCCTTTTCTGTTGTTTTCTCTCTGTAATATAAAGAACTATTTTGGAGACCATGGGCCTGGCTGGCAGTGTGTCACCTTTACAGGTAAAGAAAATGGGACAATCTTAAAAAGAAATACAAAGTATGTGATTTGTGCATTCAAATTGAATTTATTCATACAAATTAATAAACTGACTTTTTCTAACATTTGCGTTGCTGCTGCTGCTGCTGTTGTTGTTGTTGTTGTTGTTGTTGTTGTTGTTGTCAACTACCATGATTGATTTCCTCTGCCTTAGGATTGCAAGTGTTCAGAGTCAGGAGAGGGTGTGAGTGGGAAACCCACTGCTGCAACTTGGCCCTGGTGAGTCGAGAGTAAAATTCAAATTAATATCTTAATATACACAATGATGCATGAATGTCACATATTGTTGCAAAGGAAACATTGTGTTAGACACAATATAAGGAGTGGAAAATATCCATTCTCGAGTCTAAATTGGCCTTTTACATTTGTTAAAAAGGAACTAATAAATGTCCAAAAACTTCACAAGAACATTTGTACCACCTACACACCATGTACTGGTGATCTTCACCTCCTAAACTTTCAGTGCAGCTTGTTTGTTTAGCCTGCTGCAGTCCCAAACCTCCTTTAAAAGTGTATTGAAAGGTAAACGTCCAGAACAGGAAGGCTGCTCTTAAGGATTTCTGACCATCCCTGAAGAGTATTTCATCGTATGCTTCAGGTCTTCCTTCATCCATGTTTTGGGCTCACAGCTCAGCCTCTGATAGTCTTAGCTTTCTAAGCCTGCTCTAGCCTTTACGAACACCATCCACCCGACGCAGCAGAAACCCGCTTTTCCACCGTCACACATGTAAATGTACTTAACTGCATGACCAGAAATTAGTCATTTTAGTTTTCTAGACACATGAACTCGAGCTCACGTATTGCATGGAGACTGCACTCGACTAAATGATCAAAGGTCTCAGTCACCCATGTGACACATATTTAAGGACAGCACTGAACTCATCACAGAGATTTAAAAAAATGACAGTTAAACCTATTTTTCTAAAACTGAAGTATTTAATTCTCTGTTATTTTTCTATGTAACTTATTTGTTTTGAGAACTCTGTGATGTTGGACTACTGGTTGATGATGGGAAGAAGATGAATGCAATGCATAGCCTCTCAATGTAGCAAGCAAGACACCAGACAGGCGACACTTTAAGCTGTGTGCTGCATTTACTGTATGCTGTCCGAGTGGTCTTGATTTCAAATTTCACATAACCATTTTAACATTGACATTTCCCTCCCAACTCTGAGCTCAAGTCTTTCCATCTCTTTGTAAAGGGAGCTTGAATATATCAGTTAGACCAGATGGGCGCTACAGATGTTTCTTGCTCTCTTTTCTTTGGTAAGCTTCCTTTCTTGAGCACACGTGTAGATCAAAAGTTGCGAACTCGAGTCATCCACTCAACTTTCATGGGGATTTGCAAACTTTTGCACAGAGATTAGAAGAAAAAACGTGCTGTACTGGATCTAAATGTCACTTTTTAAATCTAGTGCTGTTCACAATTGTTTTTATGCATTTTTTAAATGGTTATAAGTAAGTAAGTAAGTCAGAATGGTTATAAGTAAGACTCTAATTAAAAGGTATAGGTGCATTTTATCGCTTATAAATCACTTTATATGGAGAGGGCGCCCTCTGGTGGTTAGTTGTTGGTTACTGCACTTAAATAATAAATGAATCAGACTGCTGTTTCTTTGAGTAAATTAAACACAGAAGGCTGGATGAAGAGATTTAATTTTTAAATTAAATAAATAAAGTCTATTAATATTACTTTAACAAGATGAACATTTAATCTCTAATGTTTAGAAAATCATTTTACCTCGGAGCTACAGCACAGAGCGAGGAAACATCATACTACTGTATGCTATACAGAAGTAACTGCACTATTTATATTTTTCCACACATTTATGTGGTGGGAAAAAAGGTTAAAAAGAGGATACATTTCTGTTATAGTGACTGTTGGATGTAATTGCAACCCATCGCCAGCAGAGGGCAGCAGTGTAATATGAATGCATGATGCAGCGGTTAATTAGACCTGACCTGTTAACCTCCAGGTGAGCTGTGTTGTAATATTTACAGTCTATGGTTGTAAAGTGTAGAAGTTACATTAAACCCACAAAGAGTTAAAACCTTCAATATCATGTCGATCATTTGAAGCACAACAAAGCATTTAATCATAATAAAATATATACTTTAGTGCTACTTAGCTGTCGTTATTTTTAGCCATCACATATTCATAATGAATGTATATAACGTGTATGCAGCATTATTCGTGTAAGTAAAGCCAATATGTAGCCTATTACATTATATAATCATGGGGAACTTTATCACATAAATAAATGGAGCAGAAAATACTAAAAGTAAAGTACAAGTACCTTAAAAGATTATGAATAAGTGGAGTAATTTAGTAATCCTATCACGACTGTTAATAACAGGTCTCTCCATTCACTGTGATCAGAGCTGATTGTCCACAATTCCTGAAAATATTGTGACGATGTTTCTTTGTTTCTCAGCACTTCCACCATGGGTGCCTTCTGAGTTAAGAATCTAATCCCTTCACACTTTGGGATTTCCTCCAGGTGTATTTGGACTTTAAAATTCACTGGACCCAGGTGAGGTTCGAACACACAATCCTCTGACTCAGAGTTAGTCCTCTAGCTCACCTGGTGAACAAGGCCAAGGGAAATGTCGCTCATGAATATGCTGTACTTCAACCACAAAGAACAGATAATCTATGGAAAGCTCCCATCCATGGTGGTCGACCACTGTGGCTGTTCTTGAGGAGACCCTGGTGTCTGCAGGACAAATTTAGAAGCTTTGTTTTCAGTGAAAGGGATGCAAAATATTATGTCTCAAGTCTAAACTAAGACCCAGGAGCATCCCATTTAGAAAGGGGCACAAGGATTACTTCCAAGGACAGGACTCTGAAGTTGTTTCTTAATTCAAATATCAGGAGTTTTCTGCAAGTGTGAAACCCCTTTAGTCTGTCTTTTAAAGGGGTCTGTCTAAAACAGACTAAGACAGAGTGGAGGATCATCTCTGATTGTAAGCAACACTCTCTTTTCTTTTTTTTCTTCTGAAGAAAGCAAATCAATTCTTTTCTTCTTTCTGAGTGCAGACTTGGAGTGAGACCAAAACTGTCAACTGAGAAGTTTCTTCATTTCATCCAAGTCTTCTTTCTGTTCTCTCTTTCAGTGTCTTTGTTTCGTCAGCGGTTGAACTCTGATGATCATTTTATCTGCTCTTAGAGGTGTGGTAAAAACCCTCACTACGTTTAAGTTAGATACAGGTCAGTGCAGTAACCAGTCACCTTCTAGACACATTTGAGTGATTACATTCACTCTACTTGGAAGTCAAAGAATTTATATTTTTGCCCGATAATTACGAGGCAGAAAAGGCTTAAAAAGACGTGGATTCAAAACAAAAACCCTTATCTGCCAGCTGTGTTTTATTTAGTTATAGTAGTTTACAGCTTTCATTGTCTGTTTTCTTTGATTTTGAGGAAACTTGTTTATTGTAGTCTTTAATTATCTACCACTAATAAGAAAATAAGAAAAATATATTGCCTAATATGTCATGGGAACACAATCTGCTTTCTTCCTCAGTAGTGAAACGCTCCAACGTACACAAGAATATGCAATGAATGAAGTTACACTTCAGATTCTTTGAGAGACTAACATGCATGTGTGATTAACAGACAATGGATTTTAATTAACATAAGCAGTAAACAGTTGCTTTATAATAAAATATATTTTAAAAAAAGCATTAAAAAAATGTTATCTGTGATTAGGTCAAGTCACATTTATTTATAAAGAAATAAAACAAAGAAAGCAGTTTGAATTTGTATCTAGAACAAGAAAGGTGAAAAAAACAAAACTTCCAAATGCAGTAATTCACAGAGTGACCACAGGAGGGCGCAGTTTCACCTTTAAACTCCATCTTTACACATTAGTATCTCAAACTAACTTCGGAGCTTCAGTACAAAGTTTTCACTCATCCCGTGTCTTCATTTATCTGCTTCTTAGACACTTTGGAGAACGACAGGGAGAGGAAGAGAGAAACTGGAGGTAAACATCATTCAGCAGTGAATTTATCTGTGAGTAAATTCAGTCAGTGTCCTAAAGACCGGAAAACAGGTTAGCTTCGTCCCTGCTAACGAATGCAGTTAGTTACCATGGTGACCCGAGTTTGACTTTCTCATGTTGCTTGGTTACCAAGAGTTCAAAGTTTAAAAAAACATAAAAACAAGTAAATTACATTAATAAATATTTTTATCAATAAAACATTTGATTTTTGACTTAGTCTTGTTTTTGTGTCCTCTTATTTATAACTTTTTAATTTCTTCCATAGAAACTTTCTGCGACACTTCCGTTGAAGCTTCCGGTAATCACGCCCAGGTGTGTTCAGGTGTTCTCAGGTGTGTATATCATTGTTTCGAGCAGGTAAGCGGTGCGGACCGCGGGCAGCCTGGCTGTGGATCAAAGCGGTGGAAGAAGAAGGAGCCGGGGAAGGAGAGATGAAGTCTAGATACTCAGTGAGTCTTTAAAAGTTCAGTTTTGTGTGAAAAGCCTCAAAATAGAAACACGTGGGGCTGTATGCTAATGCTAACACGTGGGCTAATGCTCATGCTAAATGTTTGTTAAGAGGAAACATCGTCAAAGTAAGATGATGATAACATTTATCAACATTATGAAGGTCACTTTTGAACTTGTTTTCTCCTGTTAAACTAATTGTTTAAACACCGGGTAAAAGTAAACTTTAAAAACAAAACTTATAATTTAAACTAATATCAGATTGAAGAGTTTAAATAAAACAATAACCTCAATTTAAGTTTATTGACTAATATGTAAATTAGTTAATCCGAGGTAAAATGATTTTCTAAACATTACTGTTCAGAGATTAAATGTTCATCTTGATAAAGTAATATGAATAAACTTCTTTATTTAATTTAAAAGTAAAAGCTTTTAATCCAGTTTTCTGTGTTTGATTCAAACTCAAAGAAACAAAAGTCTGATTAATTTATTTTAAACCTTTAACTTTAATTAGAGTCTTTGTTCTTGTGACAGTTAATGTATGGTAAAGATGTTTCTTAAGACCTTATACTTAATGTTTCTATATTATATTCTACATTTAAACTTTTATTTAAGTTTGCTTCAGTCTCATCCAAAAGCCTTAAAGTGAAGTTAAACACAGATAATTTACAGTGAATGATGAAACTCAGGTTTATTCCAGTCATCACAATGTTGTATAATCAAACATTTTCTGAGTTTTATTAACTTGATGAACTAAAATGTGTTTTTCTTCTCCAACAGGAACTCTGTCGACGTCTTCCTGCTCAGGTAGGAGACTCAAAGCTTTCTTAATGTTGTTTTATTATGTTCCAGGTTTTAGGTCTTATAGATGTTTAGACTCAGTTATTTTAATCATTTCATCCTTTTTTGGAGTGGAGGATCATCAGGTGTTTAATGAAATACTTCATTTTTATAATCCTTACTTCATTAAACACCTGATGTTCCTCCACTCCAAAAAGGATCAAATAACTGAGTCTAAACATTTATACAACCTAAACCTGGAACATAATAGAACATTAAGAAAGCTTTGAGCTCCTACCCAATGGGGACGCCTGTGACGCCTTATTGTTTTGTGCTTATGTAACATGTACAAAAAACAGAGGTCATGGCTGTTCAATATTTTATTGTAATAAAACTACTGCTGTCCACTCTGCATCAGTGACTTCTGTAATTATGTTCTGGTTCTCTGCCAGGTGTTTTATTTATAGTAGCTTACAGCTTTCATTGTTCTGAGGAAACTTGTCTGGTTATCTACCCAGTAAGCATGTTTCCTAATGGAAATTTATCAATATTATAAAAAAAATCCAAACTTCAAATGAAAACATGTCACAGCTTTGTGACAAAGAAGGAAACAACTACAACAAAACATCTATTAGGAATTAAAGATGCTGACAACACAAACATGAAACAAATTAAGACTTTAAAATTATTAAATTGTGTTATCAAAGTGTGTTAAGAGAAAACTGCAAATGAAAATTAAAGAAAACAGACTTTAAACTAAATCTATAGCTGAAAGATAAAAACAACAAACTATGACTGAAAGGAAACTAAAACAGCTATCAAGTAAACTTTAATCTGAAGAAAATCCTTCCAGCTGCAGCACAGATCCTACTCTTCACAGTTCAGAGCGAGGAAACACCTGGAATACAAGAAACAAAGACATCAGGGTTTAAAGTTCATTTCAGGTTGCATCTATAGGTAATTTACAGCTAGGATTGTAAAATGAGCCATTCTGATACATTACTAATTTTCAATCATTTAATTAAGTCAAAAGAATCTCTACATCTACAACAAAGAGTGTTAAGATTAAAATTTAAACATTTGTAGCATCATGTACATTTTGCCCTACGAATAAAATCAAGAATATGACTATATGTGACTGAAACAGTTAAAATAAACACAAGAGCCAAGAAAAATACTCACCAAATGTTGAAGGAAGCAGGTGAGGCAGCGTGGTGTAGCATACATGCTAACAGCTCTTTGTCTTGTTTTGGTCAGGCTGCCCCTAAAAGTTAAAAAAAAGACACATCACAATTAGTTTAAACTTAAAAATGTTTGTTATTGTAAAGTGTTTGGAGACAAGTGAATAAAAATGGACTGATTCATGAAAGTTAACATTAAGTTTGTTCATCATGTCACATTGGGCCTGTTTTTTTGGGAGAGAGAGAGAGAGAGAGATGTTACATCTGTGATCAGGTTCAGCTGTAGTGCATTAGTCCTTAATGTCGTTGGTTATCTGCCAGCTGTGTTTTATTTAGTTAAAGTAGTTTACATGTTTATTGTTAGCCGATAAATCTGTCACCCAAAAGGAGAAGTCAATCAAATCCTTTTGAGGACCAAGACCTTGAAGCTCATCATACAGAGCACTGATAATAACTTTAATTATCTGTGGTTTTTAACATCCTCTCTCTCTAGAGCTGCTGGTTGAGTGTGTGAAGAACAAGGACTTAAAGAAGGTGAGTGACAGTTTCATCTCTCACTACAGACCTTTGCACCTCATTTCTACATACTCACATGTGTCTTTGAATTGAATCACCATCATCTGCAGGAGCCGCACCTGGAGGGAGCCCCACCTGGAGGGAGCCGACCTCACGTCACTCGACTCGTTCGGCTGCAGGTTACGTCATCACGCTGCCAGTGCAGTAAGCCAAGAGATGGTCCTCTACATCCTCCACAGGTGTGTGTACAGTCCTCCACGTGTTTGGTGCTCGTAGGTTGACAGTCAGACAAACTCCTCTTTTCATTTATTCACCAGATTGAATAAGGAGTGAAAACTACAAGACACAAGAACATTTAGTTTAGTCATAACCAAAGTTCTACAATAAACAATAAACTAATACACGACAAAAGAAAGCTTAGTTGTTAACTTCACTCCAGTGAAGGAACTCACATTTCTGTTGCTGCCTGCTGTGTGCAGCCTTGAAGATGAAAGAAGGAACCCTTAACTTCCTGCTTCCTTTATAGGCAGGGCTTGATGAGTCACTTCCTGTAGCAGTCTCTGACAGGCCAACAGGGGGTGCCATTGCACCATGTGTAGCTCATTTAAAGAATCCTTAGTTGTTGTTTTTTTTACCATTAATGAATGTATGTGGGTTCTTTTCAAAATAGGAATATGAAGTTTTTTTCTTTCTGTATTTTAGTGTTTGAATAAATGGGAAACTTTCAATGACAGGCTTGTAAAACAAAAAGTCAGTTCAATCAATCTTTATTTTGTAGAGCGCCAACTCAATACAAATGTTATCTCAAGACACAAAAAGCAGGTAAGAGAGAGTCTTGTCTGGGTTAAAGGCAGGGTTGGTCATTTTCTAAAAGTAGCATTCCCTCAGTGCTCCGTCTGCACCCACCCCAGAAGCAGACCTCAGCTCATTGCCTGCATTGTCAGGATCAAAAGACAATTTCAACCACAATCTTAAAAAGTGGATCTGGAGAAAATTACCAACCCTGCCTTTTAAGTAGTTTTTAGTGGTTACAGAAAAACTGCAGTAAGTACAGATTATATTTGTGCTTGAAAACATCTAACATTGAACTGAAACCATGAGGTTTTTAAAATGCTAAACACTTTATTTAAATGTTAACAGAGTGTAGATGATGATGCTTTCAAACTGCCTGTGTCTGTATCTGTGCTCTGATCTCTGTTCAGTCTTTATGTGATGATATATGTGCCATCATAAACACAAGACACCAAAAGAAGCAGCAGGGGGGCCACTGTTGATGTCTGTTCCTCGGGTGATGTTGTCAGATGCTGTAATCTGACGCGCTCTCTCTCTCTCTCTCTCTCTCTCTCTCTCTCTCTCTGTTGACCAGGGGGGAGACGGTCCTTCACCGAGCTGCGTCCCTGTGTCAAAGAACTATCTGTCATTATCTGGTCCAAGCAGGAGCCTCGCTCATCAAGACAGACCTACAGGTACAGTTCAGCTGTAAGGTAAAAGGTAATTAAAACAACATCTAAAAGGTAAATAAAACTAAACAACAGCTAAAAGGTAAATAAAACTAAACAACAGCTAAAAGGTAAATAAAACAACATCTAAAAGGTAAATAAAACAACATCTAAAAGGTAAATAAAACAACAGCTAAAAGGTAAATAAAACTAAACAACAGCTAAAAGGTAAATAAAACAACAGCTAAAAGGTAAATAAAACAACAGCTAACAAGTCAACCAAAAAAGCTAACAGGTAAACGAAGACAACAATCTCTTCATCCAGCCTTCTGTGTTTGATTTACTCAAAGAAACAGCAGTCTGATTCATTTCTTATTTAAGTGCAGTAACCAACAACTAACCACCAGAGGGCGCCCTCTCTATATAAAGTGATTTATAAACGATATAATGTATTTATTTTAAACCTTTAACTTTAATTAGAGTCTTACATCATTGTTTGCTAAATTATTTATATTAAAGCTGCATTTTTACCTTTTACCTTTTCAAACTTTTAATTTAATTAGTTTATTTTCCTTTGGTTTTCTTAATGAAAATACCACAAACCTTTTTATTGATTTAATTGAAATGATCAATTTGGTTGAATTTATTTTTATTTATTTTTTCTTACAGCTCATTGAGCTAGTTTAGATTAAACATAAATTAAAAGGAAACATTTACAAGTTAAAAAGGACTATCACAGACTTTTAGTTTAGGAGCATCTATGGCTCATTTACAGCTAGGATTGAACAATACATGAAAAGTAAATGGGCCATTCTGATACATTACTCATTTTAAATTAACTGTTTTTTTTCATCTGAAAATACTTCTTACCTTTGTGAAAGAAAAGTCAAATAATATTGTTGCCACGAGCGGATCAAATACGAGGAGGAGCAACCTGTACAAACAGCTGGATGACAAGAATAGACTAAAGTCAAAGACAAGACACAACATTAGAAGCACAGTTTGAAGACAACCTGCTTAAAGATTCTAAATACAAATACTTTCATTTTCTCAATTCTTATTACTTGATGTCCTTTTCTTGTAATAATTCACAGGATGATGAGATCAACCAACAGAGTCTGGCTGACAAACTCAAGGAGCAGAAGATGGACACAAATCCGTTTCTACATCTCCACAAAACTCTGGAGGCACCACAAGCAGCTCAGCCGCCTCAGACACCAGATCCAAGACCAGCAGAGGATGATGGACGAGCTCATTCATTTACAATCATAAACTACTTCAATTAGAAGTGCCAGATTTTATCCACTCAAGAAGACATCAACATTAACTCTGTCCACATTATACATTTTATTTTCCTCCTTTTTGTTTGAACCAGGGCCTGTTACTGGAGCAGACTCATGACAGACAGCTGGAGAAAGATGCAACACTACAGAAGCTCATGTATGTACCAGCTAACACATCACATCTCCATTATTCATTAGTCTGTGTGTCCTCAATTCATCCACATTTTGTGTCCAGACTGCTGAACGATCAGAGGATCTGAAGGGCCTCCAGGACACGGTGTGAGTATTTCATCCCCCCATTTAAAGTGTCATGTCATTTAAAAACCCAACAGCTTTTGGTCCTCCTTGTCTGAACTCAGCTGAGGGTAGTGTTGTAGTCAAGAGCACACTAAGACCACACAGAGTCACAAATATGTGTGTGTGCAGGGGACGTTTTACTCACTTGGAGCGTAACACCAGGAAGGTTGTGGTCGTAACCGGGGACTGAAGTTATTTGATGTTTTTTCCTTCTAGTCCCAGACCGAGACCTTCAAAATGTGGACTCTGATTGGCCTGTTTTTGTTAACGATGCTGAGGTTACCAAAGCAACAGATCACAAAAGTTCAAACGGACTCAGGAGACAATCGAGAAACATCCATCCAACGCAAGCAGACGAAATCATTTGAATGATCACCTGTCTGTCCATGTAGCTTTGTTTCTTTTCATCTGAACTCCTCGGTCTTCTTATATCTGTGAATCTGTAGCTCTGGATTTATCAACAGGAAGTGCTCTGGTTATTAACAGGAAGTGCTCTGGATATATCAACAGGAAGTGCTCTGGATTTATCAACAGGAAGTTATAAAGGAAACAGGAAGTTGAGGATTCTTTCTTTAATCTGCACACAGCACACAGCAACAGAAATGTAAGTTCCTGTCCTGAAGTTGAAGTTTAACATTAGCATGTAGCTTAACATTAGCATGTAGCTTAACATTAGCCTCGTTATAATTTGTGACGTATTGCATCTGATGTATTATACCACGTGGCTTAGCATTAGCATGTAGCTTAGCATTAGCATGTAGCTTAGCATTAGCATGTAGCTTAACATTAGCCTCGTTATAATTTGTGACGTATTGCATCTGATGTAGCATACCACGTGGCTTAGCATTAGCATGTAGCTTAGCATTAGCATGTAGCCGCCATATATGTCTTCTCTGCAGCCTTCAGTATTATGAGTTTGGTGAGTCAGAGCGACACACACACACGATGAGTCATGACATGTCAAAGAAGACGATTGAAACAGCTTGAACAACTTTGAAAAAACAGTTTTTATTTCAAGTCAAACATTTTTAACCTTCTCTCTACAGATAGATGAACCAGACCTTTTCATTTCTACTCACATGAGTCATGCTGTGCTCCTCCATGAGGAACCTCTTTGTCTTTGTTAGTCTAAACTAAATGTAAACTTTGTCTTTGTTAGTCTAAACTAAATGTAAACTTTGTCTTTGTTGGTCTAAACTAAATGTAAACTTTGTTGGTCTAAACTAAATGTAAACTTTGTTAGTCTAAACTAAATGTAAACTTTGTCTTTGTTGGTCTAAACTAAATGTAAACTTTGTCTTTGTTAGTTCAAACTAAATGTAAACTTTGTTGGTCTAAACTAAATGTAAACTTTGTTAGTCTAAACTAAATGTAAACTTTGTCTTTGTTGTCTAAACTAAATGTAAACTTTGTCTTTGTTAGTTCAAACTAAATGTAAACTTTGTTGTCTAAACTAAATGTAAACTTTGTTAGTCTAAACTAAATGTAAACTTTGTCTTTGTTAGTCTAAACTAAATGTAAACTTTGTCTTTGTTGTCTAAACTAAATGTAAACTTTGTCTTTGTTGGTCTAAACTAAATGTAAACTTTGTCTTTGTTGGTCTAAACTAAATGTAAACTTTGTCTTTGTTAGTTCAAACTAAATGTAAACTTGGTCTTTGTTGGTCTAAACTAAATGTAAACTTTGTCTTTGTTAGTCTAAACTAAATGTAAACTTTGTCTTTGTTGGTCTAAACTAAATGTAAACTTTGTCTTTGTTGTCTAAACTAAATGTAAACTTTGTCTTTGTTGGTCTAAACTAAATGTAAACTTTGTCTTTGGTCTAAACTAAATGTAAACTTGGTCTTTGTTGGTCTAAACTAAATGTAAACTTTGTCTTTGTTAGCTCAAACTAAATGTAAACTTTGTTAGTCTAAACTAAATGTAAACTTTGTCTTTGTTAGCTCAAACTAAATGTAAACTTTGTTAGTCTAAACTAAATGTAAACTTTGTCTTTGTTGGTCTAAACTAAATGTAAACTTTGTCTTTGTTGGTCTAAACTAAATGTAAACTTTGTCTTTGAATTGCAGGAGCTGCACCTGAAGGGAGCAAAGAGATGATCTCCTCTTTTCATTTCTTCACCAGATTGAAGGAGTGAAAACTACAAGACACAAGAAGTTTAGTCATTACCAAAGTTCTGTATAAATTCAAACAATAAACTAATACAAGTTGTTGCTAATGCTAAGCTACATGCTAATGCTAAACCTTAACTTCAGTACAGGAACTTACATTTCTGTTGCTGCTTGCTGTGTGCAGATTAGAGAAAGAACCCTGAACTTCCTGTTTCCTTTATAACTTCCTGTTCCCTGAATGATCCATGTAAACAGTGTCTCTAGTGACTTCACTGATGCTCCATATTTTACTTGAGCTCATTTTAACTTTGAACCATATTATCCTGATATATGATTGACCATGTGTATATATAATAAATCAAATCTTATGTCATGGTGGGAACAATGGACCATTGATGAATTTAGGTTAGTAC